GACGCAGAGCTGAACCTCAGTCTTCTTGCTCTGAAGAAGACCCTGACATGTCTCTTGACTCTTAGTCTATTGATAGGCTGATTACCCTTTTCAGGGACACTCTTAGCCTCCCAGCAGAGAAATCAGAGTTCAGAAAGGCTGACCGGTTCTTTGAGGATCTGAATCCAAATAGACCTACATTTCCGGTACCTCCTGCTGTTGAGGACACGTTCCTTCAAGAATAGACTAAACCTGAAAGGAAACCCACCTTAAAGGCTAAAGTTTCAAGGGCTTATCCTTACTCAGCCGTAGGATTTATATGACCGAGTCCACATTGACTCCATGGCCTACCTTAGAGTACCGATGGAAAAGCGTATGGATAGGATCTCATGAAATCCTATTTGGTCCTGGGCTCCACCCTATATCCTGCAGTGTCCTTAACCACTTTCTCGAGGCCTTGAGAGTGTGAATTGCTAATTTTGAGAGGACATTGACCATGGAGTCTGCAGAGAACAAATTCTATAATCTCTCAAGGTCTTCAGCCTGGCTGCGGTGTTCTGCTCGGGAGCCTCTTTAGACATCACTCGTATGTTTGTAGAAAGTATGGCTTTATCTGTTGCCTCTAGATGGGGCCTTGTGGCTTCATTTGTAGGGGGGTGACTATGCTTCCAAGGCATGGTTGTGTGTCTCTCCGTTTCTGGTGGATTTATTGTTTGGTACAACCCAGATGAAGCCATTCTATAGGCTGCAGATGGCGTTAAGCCTTTTTTGCTGCAAGAAAGAAGGAAGCCTTTTTCCTCTTCCGGGAAGAACACTCGTTTTAAGGATCAGTTCTTTCAGGTTAGCAGAAGCTATAACCCAGGAAGGGAGTATTCTAGAAATTCCTCTTGGAGAAGCTTCTCCCAGCCCTAGCCGTATAAAGCCTTCAGAGGGAGGGGTGCTAATACATCTGGGAAGAACTTTGGAAGGTCTTCAGGTCCTTTTAGGGATTGTGGGGGGATGGCTAAGATTATTCTACCCTGTTTGGGCCATAAATATCACAGACATCTGGGACAGTTCTTTCTTAATAGAAGTTACAGGATAGAGTTATCTTCTTAACCAAGATCCACTCTCTTCAAGAAGTCAAGGGTTTTGACAGGCTCCAATCACAGAGATGTTCATAGGCATTTACTCCACAGTGTTTTGGCTCCAAAACCACCAGGGAAGTGGCATCTGTTTCTCAACTCGAAGGAGTGAATTCCATGCTCAATGTAAGAACATTCAAAATGGAATCCCTACAGACCACTATAAAAAAACATCAAAATATTGGTTGGATAACTTTGATAGTCCTGAGGGATGCATACTACCAATTCCCTATGTACTGCAATCTTATGAATTTTCTCAGATTCTGGGATCTAGGAAAACACTTCTAATTCAGGGGCCTTCCGTTTGGCCACAGCTTGGCACCTAGAATGTTCTCGGAGGTTCTTGTCACTTTAATAGCCTTTATAAGAGAAGTGGAATTGAAATCTTCCATTTCTTGGACGATATCCTCTTCAGAGGTCCATCTCACCAGATTGTTCATCGTCACTGGAGTTTGATGAGCCACTTTCTTCTAGATCATGGCTGGCATGTAATAATAGAGAAGAGCTCCCTCATTCCTTCTCAAAGGATTTTCTTCCTGGGAGCAGTGACTTATACGATCTCAGCCCTTGTGTTTCTCTCTTCGGACAGGGCCCTGAAAATCTGAGACAATACAGGAAAATCAAAGTCTCACAAAGGCTTTAGCAAGAGAAGTCATGAGCCGCTTAGGTTCTCTGACATAAACTGTCGGGCTGGTGAAATGGGCCCAATGGAAGTCTTGTCCTATTCAGTATTGCCTCCTTCGATTCAACGGAATAGAAGCAGATTGGGATCAGAGAACTACTATGCTTTCCCCGGTAAGAAGGGGTTGAACTGGTGGAAGGGAAATAATATTGTCAGATGGTTTCACGTTGTAGGAATATAATTACGATTATATTCTTGGAACATAATTATGATTGCCTTTTATGTGATTAACCAGGGAGGCACAAGGAGCAATTACTTTGAAGGAACTGGGTCTCGTAATGGAAGTGGCCATAGACAGGCTTCGAGGTCTAAAGGCAATCTATCTTCCGGGCTCAGAGAACGTTACTGTGGACTCCCTCGGCAGAACAGAAATTCTTTCAGAAGAATGGAGGCTTCACCTGGCGGTTTTCTAATGTATTGCCCATTGGTGGGGCATACCCCAGATCGACCTTATGGCGTCTTTCAGGAACTGTCATGTAGAGGATTTCTACTCTCTCCATCCAGACTATCGGGCGATGGGCCAGGATGCCCTTTTCTTTTCCTCGGTTTTTCGATCTGGGGTATGCGTTCCCTCCCCTACCCATGATACCCAGATTTCTGTGAAAGGTTTGGACGGAAGGCAACTCTGTTATTGCTATTATCCTGGTCTGGCATAGAGGCCATGGTTTCCACTCTTAATCAGGTTGAGTCAGGAACGACCTCTGCTTCTCCTAATATGATAGATCTGCTGAGTCAAGGTCCAGTCTCCCATCCTCATCCAGAACCCCTCTGGCTGGGGTCTTTAAAAGGAGAGATGTCACTTTGGCCTCTCTGAAGCAGTGGCTAATACCCTTTTCCAGTCTAGGAAGGGTTTTACTTCCTAGTGCTACCATAGATTCTGGAATATATTCAGAGAATGGGCATCGACAAGGAGCTTTAACTTCTTGCAACATAGTAATTCTCAGATCCTGTTTTTCTTCAGGAAGGTCTGGACAAAGCCTCAACACTCTTAGAGTTCAGTCCTCGGCCTTTTCAACATTATGCAATATCTCATGGGCTTCGGATCCTTTGATTTCAATATTCTTCAAGGCAGCTTGCAGGTTGAGTTCTCCTTCCAGATCCGTTACCCCTCTTTGCGACCTTTCAGTTGTACTCAATGACCTGACTGACGATACTACCCTTCTGACTTACAAGACTTTGTTTTGGTGACTGTCACTTCCGCAAGAAGAACGGAGATTATAGCCCTTTCTACCATGTCAAATTTATCAAAATTGGGTGTGTCTGAGACCAATACCGGAGTTTCTACCTAAGGTGTATCTCAGTTTCATCTCTCTCAGGGAGTGGTTCTGCCATCATTCTATCCTAATCCAACGAAGTTAGAGGACAACGTTGGATGTTAAGAACTATCTGTCTCAATTCCTTCTTCGTTCTAAGTCATACGGAAAGATTGACCAACTCTTTATTCCACCTTCAGGAACTAGGTGAGGTATGGCAGCTTCTTTAGCTACGTTGAAATGTTGGATTTCGCTAATCAGGTAAGCGCACGTCTCTAAAGGTAAGTCTCCTCCAATTAAGGAGCATTGTAGACTTCATGGGCTAATGGGGCAGATGTTCCATACGCTGATATTTGCAGAGCAGCCACCTGGTCTTCACCGTTGATGTTCATAATCGCTGCTAACTGGACGTAGCCTCTTCTTCCACCTCCTTTGGGAAGAGTGTTCTGTCTACAGTTTCTTTATCCCATTGATATTAAATTTCTTTGCAGCATGAGTGTCTGTATAATGTCCTTTTCTCATTTTCTTTTCCCACCCTATATTTCTGTGAGCTTGGGTATTACCCATAAGTGATACTGCCATGATTAGCCAGAAGTAGAGAAAATTTATGACAAACTTACCGTAATTTTCTTTTCCTGGCTATTTCTCATAGCAGCATCAGGGTTCCCGCCCATTCTTTAATTTTTTTTCAGCTTTATAATTGGACTGAGGCAGGGGCGGACTGAGAGCCTTTGGGGCCCCCGGGCAAAATTGGATCCCAGGCCCTTTGAAGGCCAAATATATGTGCATTAAATAAATGTTAAATATAACTCATAATACAGCATTCCTTTGGATGTGTATATTGTGAAGACCTGTGTATCAATGCATGTTTGTATTTGAGTCTGTGTGAATGCACTTGTGCATGTCGGGATGACTACATGTGCTTTTTTTGTATATAGTGTCTGTGTGAATGCATATGTGACAGGTGACAGTGTGTGAGGGAGAAGGTGACAGGTGGAAGAGTGTGGGAGGTTGTGACAGGTGGCAGAGTGAGGGGGTACCTGGTGGCAGAGTGAGGGAGGGAGGGGTTGAGTGGTGGCAGAGTGAGGGGGAGACACAGTGAGTGGGGGTGACTAGTGACATAGGGAGGGAGAGGGGGTGACTAGTGACAGAGTTAGGGAATGGGTGACTAGTGGCAGAGTGAGGGAGGGAAAAAATGACTAGTGGCAGAGTGAGGGAGGGAAGGGGTGACTGGTGACAGAGTGAGGGGATGACTGGTGACAGAGTGAGGGAGTGACTAGTGACAGAGGGAGGGGGTGACTGTCACTAGTCACCCCATCCCTCTCACTGTCACTAGTCACTCCCTCCCTAACTCTGTCACTGTGTCACCCGCTCCCTCACTCTGTCACTAGTCACTCCCTCCCTAACTCTATCACCAGTCACCCCTTCCTTCCTTCACAGTGACAGAGTTAGGGAGGGAGTGACTAGTGACAGAGTGAGGGAGCGGGTGACACAGTGACAGAGTTAGGGAGGGAGTGACTAGTGACAGAGAGATGGATGGGGTGACTAGTGACAGTCACCACCTCCCTCACTCTGTCACTAGTCACCCCTCCCTTCCCTCACTCTGCCACTAGTCACCCCTTCCCTCACTCTATCACCTGTCACCCCCTCACTCTGTCACTAGTCACCCCCTCACTCTGTCACTAGTCACCCCCTCACTCTAGTGACAGAGTGACTAGTGACAGAGAGAGGGAGGGTGTGACTAGTGACAGAGTGAGGGAGGGAAGGGGTGACTAGTGAGAGTGAGGGAGGTGGTGATTAGTGACAGAGGGAGGAATGGGGTGACTATCACTGTCACCCCCTTCCTCACTCTGTCACTAGTCACCCCCTCTCTCACTCTGTCACCAGTCATTCCCTCACTCTGTCACCAGTCACCCCTTCCTTCCTTCACAGTGACAGAGTGAGGGGATGACTGGTGACAGAGTGAGGGAAGGGATGAATAGTGGCAGAGTGAGGGAAGGAAGAGATGACTGGTGACAGAGTGAGGGAATGACTGGTGACAGAGTGAGAGAGGGGGTGAATAGTGACCGAGTGAGGGAGGGAGAGGGTGACTAGTGACAGAGTGAGGAAAGGGGTGACACAGTGATAGTCACCCCATTCCTCCCTCTGTCACTAATCACCACCTCCCTCACTCTCACTAGTCACCCCTTCCCTCCCTCACTCTGTCACTAGTCACACCCTCCCTCTCTCTGTCACTAGTCACACCCTCCCTCTCTCTGTCACTAGGGTGAGGGGGTGACTAGTGATAGAGTGAGGGGGTGACAGGTGATAGAGTGATGGGGTGACTAGTGACAGTTACCACCTCCTTCACTCTGTCACTAGTCACCCCCTCCATCACTCTGTCATTGTGTCACCCCCTTCCTCACTCTGTCACTAGTCACCCACTCCCTCCCTCACTCTGTCACTAGTCACTCACTCTGTCACTAGTCATCCCCTTCCTTACTGTCACTAGTGACCCACTCCCTCTGTCACTAGTGACCCACTCCCTCTGTCACTAGTCACACCCTCCCTCTCTCTGTCACTAGTCACACCCTCCCTCTCTCTGTCACTAGTCACACCCTCCCTCACTCTGTCACTAGAGTGAGGGGGTGACTAGTGACAGAGGGAGGGGATGACTGGTGACAGAGTGAGGGACGGAGGGGGTGACTAGTGATAGAAAGAGGGAGGGAGTAGTGACAGAGGGAGGTGATGACTAGTGACAGAGTAAGGGAGCTGGTGACTAGTGACAGTCACCACCTCCCTCACTCTGTCACTAGTCACGCCTTCCTTCCCTCACTCTGCCACTAGTCACCCCATCACTCTAGTGACAGAGTGAGGGAGGGTGTGACTAGTGACAGTTAGGCAGGGAAGGGGTGACTACAGGGGGGTGACTAGTAACAGTGGGGGGGTGACTAGGGACAGGGGGGGTGACTAGGGAGGGGGTGATTAGAGCCTACCTGTGCTTACTCTGCTCTCCCTGGCTGCTGCTCCTTCCCCTCGCTGGGCTCTGTGTGAGAGGCGAGTACAGGAAGTGATGTCACTTCCTGTCCCCGCCTCTCCCATCACACAGAGCACCGCGGGACAGGGAGAAGGAGACCTGGCAGCGAGGGAGAGGAGGTAAAGCTGCCAGGTCTCCATGGGGGGGACACTTACAGGGCGGTAGGTTGTGGGGCCCCAAGCTGCATCAGGGGCCCCACAACCTATCAATTAAATAGTTTTTTTTTTTTTTTTTTCGTTCCAGTTGGAGAGATCTCTGATCTGATCTCTCCAGCTGGAGCATGGCTGTGCTGCCGGGCCCCTGACTGCCTCGGGCCCTCGGTCCATGACCGATATGCCCGAGTGGTCAGTCCGCCCCTGGACTGAGGTGTAGGGAGAGGAGGGACTCTTTATACCTGTAGCGGATGGCACTGTGGCTGTCCTTAAAAAACTATGAGAATCCTGCAATTCGTGTGTTGTCTCTGATTTATATTCCCTGTAAATGACATTCGTATGTTTGTTTGGTAGTTTCCATCTGTATTTCATACGAATGGAAACTACCGAACTAATAGACCTCCCCAGAGTGAAGTGTGTTCCCAATTAGGCTGTCGAACGTGTGTTAACCGCAGATTAATAGGTGGTTTATTGATGTATATGGGTGGCCGCCGTTCGGCATACGAACACGTGGCGGCGGTCATCTTACGCACGAAGACTCAGCGGTGTTTGGTCGTCGAGTGTCTGGAACTCAAATCGGACACTCGATTACCTGAACACCGCTGACACCTCCAGAGCTCCATAACTCCCGAACGGGAAGACGAATCAGCACCCCGTTCGGTGAGTTTGGAGTACCAAACAAGGGCATTCAGGCGAATGACAGTTTAATCGTGGATGGCATGTATTTCTATGTATTTTACCTCCCGAACGGAGACCGACCGCAGGGCCAAAACGCATGGAACCCATTTCAGATACCACCTCGTGTGCGGTCGGTCAAATTTCACCCTCCACCTAACTCCCAAACCCCTGGTCTGATCTGGGTGAATTTTGGATATGTTGGTCACCCAGATCAGGGCTACCAGGGGGTACCCCCTAAGTATGGGTGTACCTGCTAATCTTGGGGTACATCCAGAACTTGGGGAAAACTGTGTCTTGTATAATGGGATTAGGTGTCATACTAAGGGGAGGAGATGGGTGGGAGGTAACTACTATGCCATTGGGTACTGTCCTAATGAATGTGAATCCCTCCCTTGCATGGGAGAAATGCTTAAAAGGAGGTTGTGTATAATAAAAGTCAGTTCTGCTCCTGATGCTGTGTGTCGTCCAGTCATTGGGATCTGTATGGGGATATTCTTGGATTGCCTTGCTTATTGGAATTATTGCTTCATGGGATTTTTCATCACTTGTTCCTGAGCCTCACTGGGATCTTGGTGGAGTTAACCTGTGAAATACCAGGCCTCCGCTACAATACCTATCAGTCTAATTAATCTAATTATTTCCTGTCCTGTGACTGCTAAGGGAGGAGCTACCCATAAGTGATGCTGCCATGAGAAATAGCCAGGAAAAGAAAATTACGGTAAATTTGTCATAGATTTTCTCTAATCATGTACCTGACTTTGGCTAGTTCCTGTTTTCGCTGACTTTCTGTTATCCTGACCTAGGCTTGTATCTGTTATCCTGACTTGTTATCCTGGCTTGTTTGTTCCCAGCTACTCTAAGGACAGGTAATACATTTATTTCAGCCCAATTTATTACTGCTAACCTAGATGTGTTGGGTTATACCTTGTGACATTTACTTGATTTAAATAAAATCCACCATTGTTTATATAATGAATGAATGTCCCTTTAGAAAAGCATCAATGAAATTGTGACAGAAAATTGTTACATGTGCAGAAACAGCCATTACAGCTTTAAGAAATACTGGAGAAATATTGAGTAACGAATTGCTAGTTGCCATGAATCACTAGATAAATCACCATTTGTCATTCATATTTTGCAAGGTGATGGAAAAGACTCTTTTGTAGAATGCAAGATTCTGCTAAAAAGTTACAAAGATAATGAAAAGTACTGTGCTTGCTGAAATGACATTACAGTGTTAAAAGTAAGCAATGTCGGGGGATGGGACCTGACAGCCATGATGGCCAGACATGTTACAGCTCGGCTCCTGCAACACAGGGCTGAGTTTAGGCATTTTTTGCCCAATAATGCTCACATAACAGCCTTGATAGTGCAGCATCCTAACACTGAATATGGGAATAAATATGTTTGTCTCATGCTGTTACAGCAAGAATTTACACCGTCTGGCTGCAAGGCCTAGCAAGACTGATGGCCTGGGAACCGGGGGAGGTGGCCAATCTCCCGACCCGGGACGCTCACTTACAAGCGACAAACTAGATGGCGTGCCACCCCCTCTCTGGACCGGTGGGGGACATCCCGGTCCCCACTGGGGGAAAACACCTCCCTGCAACTACAGAATCTCTCGGACTACCCGGAGTCCGCATGGCAAGCACAAGATGGCTGCTACACCACAGCCTCCACAAGCCAAGGAGGGATCTGTTATCCAGACCTGGGAAGAAAACTTTGAAGCCCGGTTCGATCAACTGTGCCAGGCGTTCTGGCAACGCATCAAGAGCCGAAACTCACGAGCATTGCTGACCCATCAAGAAGGCACGTCGGACCACGGATCCTGCACTGCACTGGGGTTCCACCCGGTGGCACAGCCAACCAGCCGCCCAGATACCCAGAGGGTTCCCCGGCACTTGGGGCACACATGGGCCCGCGACCCTGCCAAAAGGAAATGGAGGGTCCCTGGACATGTGGCAAGGGTCCCCCTTAAGGCCTGGGTTCAGAAAGGTGGGAAGTCCCGGCGTAGCACACCTACTGCGGTCCACAAGCAGAGAGCCTGGCTCAGCACACAGCTTCTCCTGCATTTGAGTGGTGCAAACCTGCCAGGCAAGAAGTCTGCCGGACTTCGCTGGCCTACCTGTGGCATCGGATAAAATACTATCTTGAAACGTCCTACTGTTCTACTGCGGGGACATTTGCTTATCTCAGTGTGTTTTAGTACCCAGTAGCTATAAAGCGGAGCTACCATTAATTATTGTTTACCGTTAATTATTGTTTAGCATGTTACTCTATCTTTTATCTCATCACCTTAGCATGCTTAAACTAGCACACCATGCTTACACAATATGCTTAACCCCTTAAGGACCAAACTTCTGGAATAAAAGGGAATCATGACATGTCACACGTCATGTGTCCTTAAGGTGTTAATCTACTCAGCAACAAGTACCCAGTATACAAACCTGTAAATTAACATCATTAGCACCTACACATTTAAGACTCATCACTTGTCTAATGTCTCAAGCTCAATTGACTTCACGCAACCCAGCACATCAGACATACTTGGCTAGCCTGTCTTACTGAATTCATTTTCTTATTTTTATACTTTTATCAACATGCCTAGGATTTTGTATAGCCTAGCTTCTCTTGTCTAATAGTTACCCTAGACATGTTCTGCTTAGCCTGTAATTTACACTGCTTATAAAAGTTTTTAAAAGTGCAGTATACTCAAATGCCTTGTAACTGATACGCGTTGCCGAATTAACTGTCTTGCCAGTGTTGTTGGGGCATTGAATGATTGTCTGTTAAACGTGCACACAAAAATAAAGATTTTTTTTTTTTTTTTAAAGTAAGCAATGTCACTCCTAGATTAAGAATGAAGGACAATTTTAAGCCTTAGATGAAACTCAAACATGAGGGCCCACTATCATCCATAGTGAAAAAAAAAGTGGTTGCATTGTGTGTGTAAAAGGAGCTTGGCAGTCATGTATACATAAGTAAAAACAAAAAAAGACTAACTATGTATGCTGTACCAAAACAATAATTAGAGCTAACCAAAGGAGCACCCAAAGACAAAACCAAACCCCAAAAATAGACATGAAAGTATAGATAAAATGGGAAAGCTCTATAAATGTTCAAAATAAACATAAATATACAACCTGGTATAATACAATGGTGATAATAACTAGAAAACAAATCTAGAAAGAAAAAAATATACATATAATTGTATAATACTGTATAATTAAAGAATCACTATAGTGTCAAGAAAACAAGGCCGTTTTCCTGACACTATGTCATTCTTGGGGGACCCTCACCCTTAGAGTCCCCCTCCCGTGGCGCTGAAAGGGTTAAAAACCCCTTCAGCAGCTTACCGGGCTCCCTCGGCGCTGGTGACCTCTCCTCTCCCGCCGACGTCAGCTCCCGAGTGGAGCAGAATGCGCATGCGTGGCAAGAGCAGTGCGCGCATTCAAACAGTCCATAGGAAAGCATTTCTCAATGCTTTCCTATGGACATTCTGCACACTGGATGCGAATTTTGCATCCAGCGTCGCAGAAGCTCCTCTAGCGGCTGTCAGGAAGACAGCCACTAGAGGTTGGATTAACCCTGCTATGTAAACATAGCAGTTTCTGTGAAACTGCTATGTTTACATGTAAAGGGTTAACACCTGAGGCACCAGGCACCCAGACCTCTTCATTGTGCTGAAGTGGTCTGGGTGACTATAGTGTCCCTTTAAATACAAAATGGGGGGGAGGTAGAACACTCACAAAATGCTTGTTAAACGCAGGCACATCTCCCCCATGGGGGTGAAGCCACAAGTAGACGTCTTGTAGAATGAGACTCTATAGTAGTAAGGACAATAAAAACCAAACTAAGATAGTGCAATGCTGTATAACAAAATGTATTTGAATGGATAAATGCACTTACAAAGAGATAAAATCTGAGCATGTCTTCACCTTCACTATAAGTGGATCTCAAGATGAAAGCAAGAACTCAATCACTGGTAATGATGATTCCACCAAAGATGAGTA